GACAGGAGCCTCAAGCTGTCCCCCTGGGTAGAGTGCTGTGGCATCTCAGCTCACAGCAACCTCCAATTCCTGGGCTCAAGCGAGTCTCCTGCCTTAGCCTCCCAAGTAGCTGGGACCACAGGCACCCGCCACAATGCCCGGCTATTTTTTGCAGCTGTCATTGTTGTTTGGCAGGCCCGGGCTGGATTCAAACCCGCCACCTTGGGTGTACATGGCTGGCACCTTAGCCACTTGAGCCACAGGCGCCGAGCCATCCATGGGGTATTTCATTCACACTCTTTCAGACCCTTTGGTTTTTCATGTCTTTCTTGGCCATTGTTTAACAGTACTTTTAGATTAGATGACTTCATTTTTTTTTTTTTTTTTGCTTGTCTTTTCATCATATGGATAGTGCATGTTGTATATAATCAGCTCCTGCTGATGGATATTGAGGTTTTGTTTTTTATTCCTGCCTTCCAAGGAGATTGTACCAATTTATAGTTGTAGTGTGCATTTCCCCACACCCTTAGCTACAAAGTATGTTACCACTCTTTTTGATCACTGTCAAGCTAATAACTGAAAAACTATAATTTTATTTGAACTTTTTTTTTTTGAGACAGAGCCTTAAGGTGTCACCTTGGGTAGAGTGCCGAGGTGTCACAGATCATAGCAACCTCCAAATCCTCAGCTTAAGCGATTCTCTTGCCTCATTCTCCCAAGTAGCTGGGACTACAGGTGCTGGCCACAATGCCCGGCTATTTTTTGCTTGTAGTTGTCATTGTTGTTTGGTAGGCCGGGGCTGGATTAAACCCGCCAGCTCTGGTGTATGTGGCTGGCACCTTAGCTGCTTGAGCTACAGGCGCCAAACCTATTTGTACATTTTTAATGATTGAGGTGGAGTCATTGCGCTCTGGGTAGAGTGCTATGATGTCATAGCTCACAGCAACCTCAAACTCTGGGACTTAAGCGATTCTCTTGCCTCAGCTTCCCAATTAGCTAGGACTACAGGTGCCTGCCATAATGCCCAGCTATTGGTAATTTATTTCTATTCATTAGTCATTTCCTTTACCCATTTTAACACTGAATTATCTTACTGGGAGAATTTGCCCTTTGTCATATGTTACAAATATTTTTCCTAAATTTGTACCTTGTCTTTTCTATTTTTTGGAGGGTGGATAATCTACATTTTGTGTTGTCTCTCTTTTTGTAGGTTCTAAGTTCTGATAATTCTACCACTTTCTGGGTGTGTCACTTGTGTCTCTGAGCCAGTTTCCTGCTTTATGAGATGGGGTGATGACGCTTTGTACAAGGTTTGGTGTAGGTTCGATGAGTGAATCCAGATCTGAAAGCGTCGGGTAAGGACCGGGCCAAGGCCAAGCAGCAGTTCCGAGATGCATACGCCCCCTACCAGCACAAAGGGCTGGCCTGAGTAACAGCCGGCTGGCCTCAGCTTCGCGCTCTTCCAACTCACGTGAGTGGCTCCGCCCCGTCTGATTTCCGACTAATGGCAAAGCTTCGTGAGGCGTAGAGTCCTGCCCCTAAGCCTCCTGACCAAGAGGCGGGCTCCATCTTGCTCGGAGTCCCGCCCCCTGCCGATTCGAGCAATGGGTGCCCTCCGTTTGGCGCAGGCCCCGCCCCCGCCGCGCGCCGGGCTGCGGGCCTCGGGGCTCGTTCCGGAGGGCGGACGCTGAGGAGGCCGGAGTGGTCGCAGCTCGGGCGGAGTCCGTGCCGGGCCGCGGGATTGGGGCGGGCAGCGAGCAGACGGGCCGGCGGGGGCAGC